AAATTTTGCACTAAGTTTGAACACTCCCTGCAGAAGCTATTCATATGATTCAAAAGATGACAGCTATGGGCAACTGGTGACCGGCAACTTCATCATGACAATGCACCTGCTCATGAATCACGTATTGTGCAGAGATATTGGCAAAACAGTGGATCACCCAGGTGATTCAGGCCCCCTAAACCCAGATTTGGCACCCTGTGACTTCTGGCTTTTTCCCCAAACTAAAATCACCTTTGAAAGGGAAGAAATTTCAGACCATCAGTGAGATTCAGGAAAATACAGTGGCACAGCTGATGGCAATTGGGAGAACTGTGTGAGGTCCCAAGGTGCCTACTTTGGAGGGGACTGAGGCAACACTGTCCTATGTACAATGTTTCTTGTATCTTGTATCTTCTTCAATAAATGTCTATATTTATCATATCACATTGTTCGATACCTTCTGGACAGGCATATATATATATAAAATTCACTCATTATGTTATTCATTTTTATTCATTACCTCAAACTAAATTTTAAACTCCTTGAAGGCAAGATGTAAATATTAGATTTTTGTGTCCTTATTACCTTCTGTTTCATACCTACTGGCACCACCAGTGTGTTTGTTTATAATAAGCTTTCAAAACCCAGAAATACAACTCTACAACACAGTTAGGGGTTTACACAAAATTCTAAGTTCACTTAGCAGGTATTTAACTAAACTGCACCTCAGAGACTGCCCGTGTTCAAAAAATAAAACAAACACATAAATTATAATGAACATAATCTACAAATCTACAAGTTACAGTAAACATAATTTAGCATTACATGTTAAATCAAATTATAATATATAACAAATATTATTTCTATTTAATATATGGACATTAAATATATTTATATATTGCAATATATGTGTTATATATAATAAATATCAAGGAGTTAATTGTTGGTTCTTTAGATTAAAAATCAACATTAAGATAGTACTTCCATGTTTTTAATATTAAAACAGTATTTCTTACAATACTTGAAGATATTCTTCAAATACCACAGGTTTGTGTAGTAGATAAAGATGGGCTTAAAATATTGTCTTGACATTATGCTAAGCAAAATAAGCCAGGCGATGAAAGACAAATACCCTATGATCTCACCTTTAACAGGAACCTAATCAACAAAACAAACAAACAAGCAAAATATAACCAGACACTGAAATTGAGAACAGGCTGACAGTAATCAGAGGGGAGAGAGGGGGGAATTTCAGGGGAAAAGGGGAAGGGTTTACAGGAATAAGTATAAAGGACACATGGACAATAATGGGGGTGCAGGTGGAAACAGGGGAGAGAGGTGGGGAGGGTTGGGATTTTGGGCTGGGCGTCAGGGGGAAAGGCAGAAACTGTACTTGAAGAACAATAAAAAAATAAAAATTAAAAAAAACATATTGGCTTGAGCTGAATGTACACTGACTCTAAAACATATACAGTAAGTATGTTGTTGCTTTTAAAAAGAAATTCCACATATTGAGTTTAAAAAGAAATTCCACATATTGAGTTTACTTTAATGTTCTATCCTATTTCTCTCTTAACAGTTGAGGGAAGAATTTTGAATAAGTTCATTTAAATTTTGATTTGTTTCAAATAAATAAAAGCTTATACAATGATATTAATAATAATGATGATTTTCCTCTGGTTAAAATAAATAAATAAAGCCTCATCCTACATAGGCTCATGTCAACTGACAAGGCATAGTAATTAACTATGCCTTAACAAGGCATAGTGTTTAACTTTGGGGTTTTAATATTATTATACAAGCTTATTATAATGCAAAAGTGGTCCGTTATAAGCACAGTAACTATGGCACACAACTGCAGTTGTATTTGGCGTTCTTATGGGTCTAAGAAACAAGAAGCTACTGCTTCATTGCCAAGAAGTCAAGTTTAATTTGCTTTCTTTTCCCCTTCCTCTTCAACTGGCTGAAATACAAATTCCACTGCAAATGCAACAACCAGCAAACAGAGATGCCATCATAAATACATAACACTGCCAAGGAGGAAGCCCTACTTTGATGGATAACAGGGCTTCCCATGGCAACTGGAAGGTATTCTGGGCAGCATATTTAAGCCTTGAAACCATATTATCAACAAAATGCATGCATTCCTTACAACTAAAAAATAAGTTACTTTTTTTTTACAACATTGACATTTACTATTACTCAGGGGGTAATTTTGTTCGTATTTGTCTAGTTCGTATTCTTAGTGGACTGAGAAATTTTATAAATCTTTCATTCTGAACTTCTGCAATACCTAACCGCAATCAAGGAGGCCCTGCTATGCCTTAAATAAAATTTGCCATACTCAATAAAGTAACAAAAACCACAAGCAGTTTTTGAACTTTGCTAACTAAATTCATAGTCTGATAAACTAATTTGGGTGTTAAAATTTAGCAACTGAATGACACTGCTTGCCAGCATCAGTTGGCCTTGGCACAAAATGTGGACACAACAAATATTTGTAACATCCACTGTGGTAGCAGTGTATGTTAGACACTGTAGGGGGGGGGGGGTGAAATTGAAGACAAGACCTCTACTCTGATGGAATTTTTCTTCTAGTTCATAGAAATAACTTATACAGGACACTCCTAAATCAAAGCAGTATTTTGTTAGAAAAATCTGATCCTTGTGGGATGTTACAAGAAACATCATTTGCCCACAATTGCTCTAAATTCTGAACTCCCCAAAGCAAGAATTCCAAGCATTACCTATCAACAAATACAAAAACTAGAAAAGAATCTTTTAGATCAGAGATGAAATAGAGGCTCAAGACCTCGTCAGCTTTGGTTTTAAGTTCAAAATACTGTGCACTGAATTTTATGAACTCTTTCCCCATCACAGTCACTGTGAAATGTCAATGCTAAGGAGTGGCATCACCAACACAGTGGAGCAGGAAACCCCTGGCCTGTTTCCCCACAAATATCGGCAATTAGACAGCTATCCATCAACAAAAACAGCTCCGGGAGAGCTCAGAAGTTCACTTAAGAAACTTTAGCAACACTGTGAAACAACAACAACAACAAAAACCTGAGAATAACTGCACAAAAAGAAAGAAAGAACAGCTTCATTTTACGTGCATCAGCCCATCCCCCAGGCTGGCGCTGCTCAGCGCCAAGAGGGAACTCCCCAGCTAGAAAATTTCCCTTGCTGGGAAAGGGAGAGCAAAGTGAGTGATCTGCTTCCCAAATGCACTTCAGTTTCACCCTACCCAGAGACCAGCAAAGCAGAGACATACAGGGATGTCCAGGAACAAAAGAGAAGGGCAGGGGCTGGCTGTATCAATCGCAGAACAGAAATGACCAGCTCCACCAGTGAAGACCCTCTGCAGCAGACCCTAGCAGTTTTAATCACTACAGAAACCAGCACAGCTGAGACAGAACCCCCCTGTAAATATCACTGTTTTGGGGGGGTTCACACACTCCAGGTGCCTGAGTCCCCCTCTCCACACCTTTCCTTCCCTCCCTGCCAAAGCTTGTGATCTGTACCAATATCTTGCCCAGCTTCTGCAGCTGCATGAGACTGCTGCCTAGACTCTGGTGGCTGACCCCATGGCTGCACACAGGCTGAAGCTAGCTCCTTCAGCTATGTACTTGTATACCCCACCCCGACTCCTGTCACCATGTGCGTACCCATGGCAAGACTCTGAGGCCGCATGAGTGCACACTGACATCCAGGGACCCTGCAGTTGCCAGTGCACCAACCCTTGGCCCCAACCCTTGCTGCCTGCCCTACCCCACCACGAGGTGTGTGTCTGCAGTTGGCACCTGTCACCACATAGACACCTGTAGGTAGCTCCCACCGGCAAGGTGTGCACACCAGTGCCTCCACTAACCACCAATGCTGTCCTAGTTCCTAGCCCCTCAACCTCAAAGTGGCACTGAGGTACCAACAACACTTGTATCCACCGCAAATCCCCCAATGCTCAAATTACACAGCTGTCAATAGTATGGACTCCAGCAGCATGAGTCACTGAGCTATCTGGGCCCCCCTAGGACCCAGAACTGTTGCACATACCCACACTTGGTGCTGTGAACTACCAGACCCAGGGTTACAACACATCCTACTTTGTCCCCCCATACAGGTGAAGGTCCTTCCTTACTAAGTCAGCCCATAAACCTTGGGAGAGGTGACTGCTTCTTCAGATGCGAAGACACCAATGCAAAGGTACTGAGAATCACAAAGAATGTGGGAACATGACGTTACCAAGACAACACAGTAAATCTCCAGTATGTGATACCAAAAAATGGAAATCCAGAAACTGTGTGATAAAGAATTCAAAATAATTGTTCTAAGGATGGTCAAAGAGCTGCAAGAGAACAGCTAACCAATTAATGAAATCGGCAAAACAATTCAAGAAAAAAAGGAGAAGTTCAACAAAGAGAGAATACAGAAAAAGAACCAAAAGGAAATTCTGGAACTGAAGACTACAGCGAATGCACCGAAGAAATCAATAATAGCTTCAGCAGTAAGCTGCACCGACTAAGCAGAAGAAAGAAACAGTGAGCTCAAAAACATATCATGTGAAACTATCAAGTTAGAGGAACAAAAAGAAAAAAAAGAAGTGAAATGAAATGAAGAAAGCCTATGGGACACCATTAAGAGAGAAAAAAAAAATGCATCCCTGAAGTGCCAGGAGGAGCAAAGCCAAGGAAAAGGGGTAGAAAGCTTAAGCAAGAAAGAATGTCTGAGAACTTCACAAACCTGGGGACAGATTTAGCCACCCAAATTCAGGAAGCTAATAGGTCAGGCCAAAATTTCTATCCAAAATAGTGTTCTGAAACATATATTATACTAAAACTGTCTCAAATCGAAGATGAAGAGAGAATTTTAATAGCAGCAAGAGGAAAAACTATTCTCCCATACTAGAGAACCCCCACAGGGTTCTCAGTGGATCCAGCAGCAGAAGCCATGCAGACCCGAGAGGATGGGATGATACATGCAAAGTGCTGAAAGGACAAAAACAGCCAACGAAAATACTGTACCCTGCAAACTTGTTCTTCAGAAGTGAAGATGAGGTCAACGCTTTCCCAACAAACAATCGGAGGGAGTTCATCACCTCTAGTCTTGCCTGATTAGAAATATTGCAAGGAGTTGTTCAAGCTGTAACAAAAAGATACTAATTAGTAACATGAATTAAAAACATATGAAAATGTATAATATACTGGTAAAGGTTAAGTATATTGTCAGATTCAGGAAATTTTGGTAGTGCAATGTGATGTTTTTATCACTTAACTCTCAGCTAAAAGGAAAAAGTATTAAATATAGCTATAGTTACAATACCTTGTTAGTGTATACATAACACAAAAAGATGTAAACTGTGACATTAAAAACCTAGAGTATAGCATGGAGAAGTAAAAGGGTAGTTTTTGTACATGAATAAAGTTTAGTTATCAGCTTAAAATAGACTGTTATAAGATGTTTTATGTCAGCCACAAGATAAACACAAGACAAAAATCTACACCAGATACAGACCATATAAAAAGAAGAGAATATATTACTATGAAAAATCATTGATTCACAAAGGACGACAATGAAAGAGGAAGAAAGGGACAAGGGAACTACAAAAGAGCCAGAAAACATTAAAAGATGGCAATAGTTTGTGCTTACCTATCAATAATTTAGTTAAATGTAAATGGATTAGATTATCCAACCAAATGGCATAGAGTAGCTGAATGAATGAGAAAACGAATAACAAGGTCCACTATATGAAGTGGGTCAAAAGACCCAATTCAACTTCAAGGACACACATAGGCTCAAAGTGAAGGGAGAGAAAAAATATGCCATGCAAACAGAAACCAAAAGACAGCAGGGACAGCTATACTTAGACAAAATAGACTTTAAGTCAAAAAGAGTAATAGCAAAGCTATCATTTAGAGTGGAAGGGCAGATAAAGTACTTCCCAGATAAGGTCAAGTTAAAGGAGTTCATCATCCCCAAGCCCTTATTATATGAAATGTTAAAGGAACTTATCTAAGAAAAGGAAGATAAAAAATACAAACAGTAAAATGACAGCAGACTCACAACTATCAACAACTGAACCTAAAGAACAACAACAAACTAATCAAACAACTAGAACAGGAACAGAATCACAGAAATGGTGATCACATGGAGCATTATCAGTGGAGAAGGGGAGGGGGAGAATGGGGTAAAGGTACAGAGAATAAGAAACATAAATGGTAGGTACAAAATAGACAAGGGGAGGTTAAGAACAGCATAGAACATGGAGAAGCCAAAGAACTTACATGTACGGCCCATGGACATGAACTAAGGGGAAGGAATGCTGGTGAGAGGGGGAGGTGACAGGTGGAGGGGAATAAAGGGAAGAAAAAAAGGGACAACTGTTATAGCATAAGCAATAAAATATATTTAAAAAGCAAAAAATAAAGTATTAGTGAAGAAGCAATAAAAAACTAAAAAATGAAAAGAACTATAATAGATTAAGAAGCAAAGGGGTCAATTCATCAACAGAGTATAACAATTATAAATATACATGTACTCAATATCAAACACCTAAATACATTAAGTGATTATTGATAGACCTGAACTAATAGACAACAACATAAATATAGTAGGAAACCTTAATCCACTACTTTTAACAATGGATAGATCATGCAGACAGAATACCAATAAGAAAACACTGGACTTAAACATACTTTAGAGTCCCAGGGGCGCCCAACCTGTGGCCCACGGGCCACATGTGGCTCAGTCAGGATGGCTGTGAATGTGGCCCAACACAAAATTATAAATTTACTTAAAACATTGTGAGATTTTTTGGTGATTATTTGTCACAATGTATTTAATGTGTGTCCCAAGACAACTCTTCTTCTTCCAGTGTGGCCCAGAGATGCCAATAATTTGAGTACCCCTGCTCCAAAATAACCTCATAGTCATATAGAGAATATTCAGTCATTCAGAGAATATTCAGAGTCTCCATAGTCATTCAGAGAATATTCAGATAAGCATATTCATCTTCAATGCACATGGAACATTCTCCAGGATAGAGCATATGTTAGATCACAAAAACAACTTTTAGCAAATTTAAATGATTAAAGTCATACCACATATTGACATGAATTAGAAATCATTAAGAGGAGGAAAGCTAGAAAATTCACAAGTATATGGAAATTAAAGAACACACTCCTGAAAAACCAATGGGTCAAAGATGAAATCAAACAGAAATTAGAAAATCTTGAAACAAATAAAATGGAAAACACAACACCAAAATGTATGGGATGCAGAAGAAGCAGTGTTAAGATAGAAGTTTACAGCAATAACAGCATATATTTTAACAAGAAAGATCTCAAATAAATAGCCTAACTTTACACCTCAGGGAACTAGAAAAAAAAAACAAGCTAACAAAGCCCAAAATGAGCAGAAGTAAGGATATAACAAAGATCAGTGCAAAAAACAACAACACTGAAATAGAGAATAGAAAAACAATAGAAAATTAATGAAATCAAATAGTTTTGAGAAAGAGAACAAAATTGACAATCTTTTAGCTTCGCTTACCATGAAAAAAAGAAGGGGACTGAAAAAAATTATAAATTAAGGAGGAAACACTGCAACTGAAATTACAGAAATACAGAGGATTATAAGAGACTACTATGAACAATCATATACAGCAACAAATTGGACAAACTATAAAAAATGGATAAGTTCCTAGAAACATACAACCCAACAAAATGGAATTATAAAGAAATAGAAAATCTGAACAGACCAACTATTAGTAAGGAGATTGAATCAGTAATCAAAAACTTTCCAACAAAGAAAATCCCAGGACCAGGTTGCTTCACTCATAAATACTACCAAACATTTAAAGAAGAATTAACAGCCATGTTTTTCAAATTGTTCCAAAAAAGAATAGAAGGGGAGAAAACACTCTCAGGCTTATCTCACAAGGCCATCATTATACTGATGTCAAAGTAAGATAAGAATACTATAAGAAAAGAAAACTACAGGCCAGTATCTTTGATATACACTTCTCAACAAAATATTCAACAAATTTTCCTTTTTAAAAAATATTTTATTTATTTTTAGAGAGAGAGGAAGGAGAGGAGAAAGAGTGGGAGAGAAACATCGACGTGTGGTTGCCTCTCATAAGTCCCTTACTGGGGACCTGACCTGCAATCCAGGCATGTGCCCTGACTGGGAATCGAACCGCAGTCATTTGGTTCACAGGCCCATGCTCAATCCACTGAGCTACACCAGCCAGGGCTCAACAAATTTTTAATAAAATATTGGCAAACTCAATTCAACAACACATTAAAAGGATCACACACCATAATCAAGAAGGGAGCAAGAACAGTTTCAATATATGCAAATCAATCAGTGTGAAGGACCATGTCAACAGAATGTAAGACAAAAAATCATACAATCATCTTAATAGATGTGGAAAAAACATTGGGCAAAATTCAAAATTCTTTCATGAAAAAACACTCAACAAATTCCATATAGAAGGAATATACCTCACATAATAAAGTCTATATGTGACAAACCCACTTCTAACATCATATTCAACTGTGAAAATTTGAAAAATCCTCCCCCCCCAAGGTCAGGAACAAGACATTGGTGCCCACTATTACCCCTCCTATTCAATTTAATATTGAAGTTCTATCCAGATCAATTAGGCAAAAAAACTAAAAAGAAGGTATTCAGACCAGAAAGGAAGAAGTAAAGAGGTAAAATTGCCTTTGATTGCTCCTATGATCTTGTATATAGAAAATCCTAAACACTCTAGCAAATAACCCTTTGACCTAGTGAGAAATTCAGTAAACTTTTAGGGTACAAAATCAACACTCAAAAATCAGTTGCATTTCTATGCAATAACAATAATCTGAAAAAGAAAAAAGAAAACAATCTCATTTACAATGGCATCAAAAGCAATAAAATACTTAGAAACAAATTTAACCAACATAGTGAAAGACCTACATACCAAAACTATGAGACCTTGATGAAAAAAACCGAAGAAGTTACAAATGAATGGGAAGATATCCTATGTCCATGGATCAGAAAATTTAATATTGTTAAAACATTCATACAGCACAAAATCTCTATTGATCCAGTGTAATAGCTATCAAAATTCCAATAGAATCTTTCACAAAAAGAAACCAAAAAAATCCTAAAATGTGTATGGACCACCAAAGACCCTGATTAGTCAAAAGAGTCTTGAGAAAGAACAAACCAGGAGGCATCACATGTCCTAATTTAAAACTATTGTATAAAGCTTTGGTAATCAAAACAGCATGGTACTGGCATAAAAACAGACACATAGACCAATAGATCAGAATAGAGAGCCCAGAAATAACTCCACAGATATATTTGTGAATTTTATATATTTTTAATTAAAATTCTGAGTTTATTTTACACATATATTTTTGTCTCCCCATCATTTCCATTTGTATGACCACCATTGCTACTATGTTCTATCAAAACATTCCATACTTACTTAAATCCAAGCAAAGGGTGGAGTGCCATCTTTAAAAACTAAACAGGCATTTTGGACAACACATCTTGGCAATGGAACCTGGACAACATTTATCAGACACGGGGAAGTTCTCACTCAGCGTTATAAAAAGGATAGCCAGATATCAACTATTACAGAAATGAAATAAGATGGAAATTTTTAACAAGCTGCTAAACTAAAGAGACTTCTTCCACTGCCAGAGATCTTGAATAGCCTTCTGGTCAATCATCCAGGTGCAATTCTTCACATAACTAACTGATGAACTTGGCTTCCACTTTAGGAAGAGAACCACCTTTTTCTATACTTGTTTGCAAATTTTTGCTTTAATGTCTTCTACAGAATTAGATCCTTTCAGTGTTTTAGGAGTTTCTTCTTGTATTTTTTTTCAAAGATTATTGATCTTTTAATCTTGGTGTTGATGGGTTTGAGTCTTTTGACAAGGGACCAGGAATACTCAATGGGGAAAAGATAGTCTCTTTAATAAATAATGTTGGAAAAACTGAATAACCATATACCAAAGAATGAAACTGAACCCCTATTTTACACCCCTCAGAAAAATTAACTTGAAATGGATTAAAGGTTTAAACCAAGACCTAAAATTGTAAAACTCCCACAAAAATATTCA